TCCTGTTGCTTATCGCAGAGCCTTGTAATAGTCGCACACAGGCGATCATGCTCCCTTGTTGCCGACTCCTTCTCGGCCTCGCTCGCTCCTCCGTTCATTATTCTCTGCGCCTCTCTCCTTTTCTCCATTAAGTCTTGTATTTCCCATCTGGCGGTATCATAGTTGATCTGCAATCGCTCCATAGTTGCTCTGAGCCTTTCGAGCTCTGCCTTGAGCACCGCTTTAGAGGGCATGATGTTGTAGCTGTGCGGTCAAGTGGTATAAGGCGTGTAGGTATTTACTTAAAATTCTAGGAATAAATTATTTGGGTGGAGATCGTCGACATACCAAGCTCAGGGCGTTTTTATATCCCAACGGCCAGGCGCTTAATTCACTGACTAGAATGGACCTTCACTTTCGCTGACACTGCATTTCTTTTAACTTGAGCAAAAGCAGTGAATCGACCGTGACACTTCATTCTTTATTTATTTAAGAGTTGTAGAAGACGGCAAGTGTTATAATCCAAAATAACCACTCATTCCATGATTTCTGGCTTTTCCTACGTAATCGCAGGGCGTGGTCAGCACCTTGATTGACCATATGGTCAAGACTACTGTTGTTAGTGAGTGACGGTGGCTAAATCAGAAATCATATTCCCTACTATCTCTTGTCATGCAATTGTTCATGGATCAGCTGTCTTGATGCAACTGTTACTTTCTCACTAGTAACTGTGTATCATTATATCACAGCGTTTGCTTGAATCTGATACTTACTAATCGACTCAATATAGTTTTATCACCTAAAGCTTAACCTTCTCGAGGAGTAGTTTATTGTGTACCAATAAATGATCAACAGCCTAATTTGCTGATTGTAATTCTCTCTTCAGACATGCAACTTTTCCATTCTTTCTCAGCAAATCCATCTTCAGTCTCTCTAGCTTGAGTTCTAGTTCCACTTCTTCACGAAGAAACTCGTGACGTTGTTGCCGAGCTACGCATTTCTGCTCATCGCTAAAGTTTGGGGAAGTACATATCGCAGTGGCAGCCCGCCCTTTTGCCTACACCCCCAGTATTTCCCAGTTTACATTGTTGATGTCCTTTTCTGTCGTACTTATTTCGCATTTGACGGCAGAAATCTCCGCCTCGATGTATTCCCTAGTTCTAGGCATGTTGTTTTGGATATACTATCAGGTGGTAAAATGGGTGTAGCTCTGTGTTTATAGTTCTTTAGCTAACGTAGTTTGCTTTACAGGAGATACTCTAAGAACCCGTGTTAGGGCGCCTTTTATACCATTCTGGCCTGGTATTTCACTGACTAGTACATCAGAAAGATGTTGCTTTCATAAACACTATCTACTACTGATCAATTGTTGTGTCATAGTATACCCTGAGCAGGAGCTGTGAAACTACAGCTATGCACTTAGTTCTTAGTGCTGATATATGCTCTTAACTACAAGCCGCTACAAATAATGGCTCATACTGGCTGTATGTGATGTTGAGAGCGGCCATCTTTACCTGATGTTTGTTTACGGATTCATAAGTCCCGGGCGATAATCAAGTCACTCATGCCGTTTTTACTACCTAGCGATATGTGAGATGCGTGAGGTGAGCCATCAGCTATGGGTCTATCAACTCGAAATAACACTCCTATCAAATCAGTTCGGGAAGTATGCCAGCCAACTACACAATTTCCACTACTTGGCTTCATGAGGTCGCGCTTCCTGTCCCTTGTTCCTTCATTCATTTATCGAGAAGGAAGTATTAATGTCAATGTGGTAAACTCAAGTTCTGTATTGCCTATCTTCTCTCAACGCTCCGCCTTCCTAAGGAGTAGCAGATCCTATACTATAGCGAAGGCCCTCAACCATCATCAATGGCCTCTTACGCTTGTAGTTGATGCTGAAGCCTTGTCTCTTTTGCTTTCAGTCTCTGTAATTCCGACCTGCTTCTGTTTTGCTGACGGTACAGTTCGTTCTCCTTATTAATAAATTCCGCAACTTGCTGTTGAGCTACGACGATCCGATCATGCGGATAGTTTCCAGTTACTATCGCCTGTGCAGCGGACTGTTTTGTCTGCACCTGAATTATTGCCCATTTTATATCGTTTATTTCCTTCTCGGTGGAGGAAATGTCGCTTCTCGTGCGAACAAGCTCTAACGCGATATCTGTCTTTGTAGCCGCCATGATGTTGTGGATATATTGTCAAGTAGTTGAAGTGTTTTAGTTCTTTGGTAGGGTTTCTTTACAGGAGATCGTTTAAATGCCCAGCTCGGGCCTTTTTTATAGCTTGCTGGTGTGGCATTTCACTGACTGTTTGATATAATCAGATATAGCTTGTGCGAACACAATCCAAGGATTCATCACTGGTGTCATGGTACCCCAGATAGCATCAGTGAACCTACTGCTACACCCTAAGTCCTTTGTGCTAATATAGCTCTCAGCCACAAGCACCGATAACTGATCGCATATCTAGGTTACAAATTAGACATTGTATCACGATCTACTGAGTTGCACACTTTTCTTGTTACACAACCACTATGTGACATCGTTTCGTAGCCACTGTACGACGAAAGAGACACTACACTCAACCGCTACTATGATCAAGTGTAGTGTCGGGTTTAATGCGTGTGGTGAGTGCTATCAGATGAAAACAATAAATCAGATGTCCTGTTTCCCAAAAGCTGTCGTGAAAATATTTATATAGCTATGTTCTCCTTCTTGATTCAAGCTCTCAGCCACAAGTCTCAGCGGCAAATAACACTTCTCAATAGCAAGTATTCACTATCCAGATGTGTTATTTGCAGTCGATACTTGTGGCTGGGAGCTTAAATCCGCAGACAGACCTCAGCAAGTATTCACATATCAATCGTCACAGTTCACCGAGTTCGTTTACTACAGCCTATGATCAATTCTACGCATGAGCAGTTCCAATTAACTCAATACCTCTCTGGTAACTTAAACTTTCCTCATGTGCTTTGAAGCACTAACAAGACTCAAATATATAACTACTTCATTAGATCATCTTTGCATGACATTGAACAATGGGCAAATATACCTCATTGCTTCTCCTACAAAAGGCGTGGGGTCGGTGCATGCAATAGTCTTGATGTGAAGTCTATGCCATTTTTAGTATCCTGAAACCTAACCTCTCGTAGCGATACCGTATATGATACCGCAAGGGAATTGGCCTTGATGCGTTCCGTTGCCTAGTCTGGACCTGTCCACTGCTTGTTGAAGTCTTCAAGCTCCTCCAACCTCTTCTCCAGCTTCTTCTCTTCCCTCTGGAGTCTCTCTTTGTCTTTCAATGCGCGCTCTTCGTTATTCTCGTGTTCGTAAGATTGCTGTTGAGCCATGGCCTTCTCGGCATTGTTGTATTGCGCAGGACTTGAGGTCACTATGCCCCCGGCAGCCAGCTTGAACCAGTATTCGTCTATAGCTACCCAATCCTCACTTTCCCTCAACTTTGTTACCGTTTCTAGACTGGTTTTGGTGGTGCGGATCTCTGTTTCGATCTCTCTCTTATTTTTGAAATCCTTGTTGCGCGGCATGTTGGGATGGTTGTACTAGCAAGTGTTGCGGTTTGTTGAATTTGTTTGTTTCGGGGATGCTTCATAGAAGAGTTGGGAGGGTTGTTTGTATGACTGTTGTATGGTTGTTTGTGTGATTGCTCGTAGTTCAGTTTGTAGAGCGTACCTACACCAGTTATTATAGTCTGCTTGACTTGCATTTCACTGATTCATATGACCGACTCGAACGTGACTTTTGCTGTGACTTTCTATTCAACAGCATCAGGAAACTCAGATTCAGAGTCATGTTGAGTCTTCGGAGAGTGAACATGACTGGATTTACGATCCATTCAATGCTGTTGACTGTCATGAACAAGCAACTCGAAACTTGTAACTATCGTGAATGGCTCACAGACTCCTCGGGTAGCGGAAAGATGTTTCACCATCATTACCACGATCAGTGACGCAGGACGGTTTGTAACTGATGTATTGTCGCGTTGCTCGCTTTGACCATTTTTCAGAGTCCCTGACTCTTCATGCAGAACTCTGACTCTGATCTTGAATGAGGGATAATTTCTGGTCAGCGTATCAGTTCGTCGCTCGGAAATCCCATCATGTGATTCACCTTATTTTTGAGCATCCATTTCACGGGCATGCAGCAAAAAGTCTCCCAAATGCACCAACACTCTGACCCTCGCGAAGACGGAGCTTTGCTGAGATAATACATCAATCCTTGAGCCGATAATTCTACATCGCATTAACAACGACCAGGTAGTGTCGATGCTCAAGTTAACGTCATTAGCAAACGCAGCCCCAATTTGTATTAGTGCATCGGAAACCTCGTGTTACCCGAAAAGCCCGCTCCAGAATCGGCAATCCCTTTCGCACTATCAGCAGCCATCATTCCAACCCCATAAAGGTTTCCATAAAGGGCACCTCTAGCTTCAAGCTAGTCAAGCCGTGACATCATGGTCCACGCTTAGTGAGGTCCGTGATTTGCCAGTTGCTAATTATAGCGAGTCCACTTCGTATGCTACCCGGTAGATCGGCACTTTGAGGCTTAGAATCACGAGAATGAGCGCCACTAGCTCAATCTTTGGTTGGGACTCTTTCCATCAACGTTGCATTCTCGATCAAAGTTTCCTCTGCAGCTCATGTTCTTAGTTAGTACCAAGCGGCAGTTAGTGTCGCGGGAAGACAGCGCATTATTGCTTTAGCGGGTTAGAGTTCGTAATTTCACATATGGTAGCGATGCAGGGATCGTGTAATGTCTATTCTGCGCCCGGGGACAGCGAGGGCCACTGATGGTAGATCCGCAACGTAGTTTTTACTTTAGCTCATGTCGTATTGGGCTTGAATATCAGTTCGTAACGCGTCGATCTGTGGATCATGCGAGTGCGAGGGTGGCCACGGCAGTTGATGCATTTAATAACATTTAATGTCCGCTCCATCCGCTTTGTTTCACCTCATTCCATTCATCCTTCCATCACCCTTCCATTCCTCACAATCATTCACAATGCATCTCAATACACTTCAGTGTTTGGTCATTGGCCTCGTTGCCAATGCTGCACAATCATTAGCTGTGCCGACGAAACGAGAGGCTGTGAATAGCTGTCTTGTCCAAGCAAAAGTCCCAGTCGACACCAAGGGCACGCAAACATGGACCGAAGACGGCACCGCTTACAATCTTCGCCTTCAGTTCGAACCCGTCGCCATCGCAGTCCCCACGACCGTAGCTCAAATCTCCGCCGCTGTCGTTTGCGGCTCAAAACATGGCGTCGCAGTTAATGCCAAGAGCGGTGGCCACAGTTATACATCCCTCGGTTTCGGCGGAGAAGATGGCCATCTCATGATTGAGCTAGACCGTTTATACAGCGTCAAACTAGCCAAGGATGGCACTGCCAAGATTCAGCCTGGCGCACGACTTGGCCATGTCGCCACTGAGCTCTGGAACCAAGGAAAGCGTGCTCTTTCTCATGGAACTTGTCCTGGTGTCGGTATCGGTGGTCACGCCCTGCACGGCGGTTACGGAATGGTCGCGCGCAAGTACGGACTCACGCTGGACTTGATGAAGGGCGCTACTGTAGTTCTCCCCACCGGAAAAGTGGTCCACTGCTCCAAGACCGAGAACTCGGATCTATTCTGGGCCATTCGCGGCGCCGGTGCTTCATTCGGCGTCGTCGCTGAACTCGAGTTCGACACCTTCGCTGCACCAGAACAAATCACATATTTCGATATTGGTGGATTGAACTGGAACCAACAAACTGCTCCTCAGAATCTCCTGGACTTTCAGGAGTTTGGAAAGACTATGCCTGCGGAAATCACTATGCAGATGGCCATCTCCAAGAATGGATACAGTGTTGATGGTACTTTTGTCGGTACGGAGGCTGACCTTAAGAAGGCTCTTCAGCCGCTGCTTAGCAAGTTCAATGTGCAAGTTAGTGCGACGACTGTGGATTGGATTCAGCTTGTTACTCACTTTGCTGGTGCAAATGTCAACATCAACCCTACCAGCGCTTCATACGATGCTGTAAGTCTATCTCTCCCATAATGGTGATTATTCGCTAACAATTTGCAGCACGACAACTTCTATGCTAGCAGTCTGCAAGCGCCTGAACTCACTCTCGCTCAATTCAAGTCCTTCGTCGACTACATCTCCACCACTGGCCAGAGCAGCAGTCACTCGTGGTGGTTGCAGATGGACATCTCTGGCGGCAAAAACTCCGCCATCTCCAAGCACAAGTCCACCGACACTGCTTACGTTCATCGCGACGCGCTTCTTCTCTTCCAATTCTACGACAGCGTTGCTCAGAATCAGAAGTATCCCTCTGATGGCTTCAACCTGATCAAGGGTCTGCGACAGAGCATCTCCAATACCCTGAAGGCGGGTACTTGGGGCATGTATGTCAATTACCCTGATTCGCAGCTCAAAGGAGACAGAGCTACCGAGATGTACTGGGGAAGCAACCTCGCCAAGTTGGAGTCCATCAAGGCGAAATACGACCCAAAGAACATCTTCCGCAATCCTCAGTCAATTAAGCCCAAGGCTTAAAAAAATCCATATAAAGAGTTGTACTTTTATCGCTACATATAGACTTGTTCTTTAGCGTGTTTTATTAGTTTAATATTATAGATTTGTTTTTCCTCAAGCCAGGTCCCGGGTAGCTTCTATATTTATTTGTTTCTTAAATCAACCTTTACATAATTCGGCCAACCTAAGTTACTCGAGCTACTCATATAGTATGTTACTTCCCTTTATACAGTTTCCCTACCTTTCTATTCAACGCATGATATTTTTCAGTGGCGTGTACTTTCGCAGCTCCGTAGCACTGGGGCTCCCGGTAAGTGACCTCCATGGTTGGACATTAGTTCCAACGGACTAACAAAGTGTGACTGAAAGGCTCTTTCAAATTGACCAAATTGAATGCTTGACATATGATCCAAATTACCTTTCAACGTCCCCTTCTCAGTTGAGGCATAAATAAACATCACTCCGTAACGACGACAACAACATTGGTAGAACCAACAGTCTTGGTTGACTGTTGGTTGTTACAGCTCTAACGCGGTTTGAGTTAGTTCCCCTCCGAATTGGTCAATATGATTGGCCCAACAGTCATCTCACCGTATGATTTGCCCACCTTCTGCCTAACTGTGCCCGAAATAACGGGGCCGGTTTTAACGCCAGCGAACCAACACTCGACTTACCGTAAAAAGTCTTCCCCTTTTCTATCATCACCTCATCCATTTCCTCACCAATTGTCCCTAGAAAAGCATATTATCGCAACAATGTCGGACCTCAGCGACCGGATGCTGCAGCTAGACATGGCTCTGACCCAGAACGGGACAGCAGCCACGCCCCATCTCCGTCAAGCGCGGATCAAGCGGAAAAACAGCCCTACAGACATCAGCCATTTAGTCTTTGGTCCACAACCTGGGAAGAAGCATCAATTGTGGATCACGGATCGAATCATGGAACCTCAGACAATTCCTCACTTCTTTGAGTTTCTCATGAATGGCGAACTTCCTGGGGATCGTAAAACATCTCGTCCTTTGCTTACGGTCGAAGAGGTCAAGAACTTAACTAGGCCATCCTCGGAATGGGCGCCTGCTCCACATAATCGACAAATAAGATCGACCGGGGAATGGATTGGGATTCGAATTGGCTCGTATGAAGACAGTTCAAGACTTTGGCCAATTGCAAAAGAACTTCACGCTATGAAGTCCAGACTTTGGGAAGGGATACCACCTATATCTGAGAGACGATGGCAAGAGCTGGGGTTGGATCATCCCGACAGATTCCCCGAGGCTTGTCGTTACTTCGTTGCGGTTATCAATGTCTTTATCTACCTAAACACCAAGCGCACCAAGGCGGCTCTGCGAAAGACTTATAACCTGATCTGGGAACATATTAGTGTGTTTGAGCAGGCGGTCAACGCCAAGCGAAAAGCCGAAGCAGAAGACGGTGTTTATCAGCACGTATCAGTCACTGGTCTCTGGTATGAGTTCATCAAAGCCCAATATGACTCTATCTGTGAGAATGCGCACCACTGGATAATCGAGCACATCGATCGCATACGAGAGTCAATCGTGCAAGAGCTCGCGCTACACCAGCCCGATCATCCAGATCATTACAGCGATAAGCAATGGGAATTGACAAACAAGCTGCACGACCTTGCCGAAAACACCTCTCAGGCTGATTACACCATAATGATGCCTACGGATGGGTACAAAGGCGATAGTCTCCCAGTGAAAGAGGACGATTGCCTTACAGAAGCTCATGGCGGTGGGTTTCGCACAGAAACGATCAGCTGGTCTGCGAATCTGTCATGGCGAGCGTCTGACTACACCAAACGTGTTAGATATCTTGACCGGAAGGAAATGTACAGCCATGTCCAGCATGAGGACTTTAGAATGCTTCGAAACTCCGTTGGTGTGACTGACCCAGCGTGTATGGTCATATCGGCGATTAGTCAGATTGATGCGCAATCTATGGCCAGGGAAGAACTACGCGGGCTCCCGAATCATCCAGACTTTGTGCCGTGGATTGAGTATGCGCGACGAAGGTCGAATAAACATTTGGGTTTTGTGGCGTATAGGCTTTGTCATGAGTATAGTCCTGAGAAATGGGATTTGTTCAAGGTCAAGTTCGAGGCGGATATTTCTGATTGGGGACGAGGGATGATTGGAATTAATGATATACGCAAGGCGTGTAAGATCCATTGGATTGATGGCAAAGAAGAGGATATTGCGGATGACGATATCGAAGCTGCCAGGAAGTAAGTTCAATGATGCGGAGACAGTGGAAAATGCTAACAATTGTGCAGGCATTTCGAAACCCTTTCGGATCAGTCAGTACACGACAGGGTATTCCTCGTCATCGATGAAGCAACCATGAAATCATATCTCGAACCAGAACCCGGAAAAGAGAAATTCGTCCTCGCCGTTGATGCAAACTACAAACCAACAAAGGAAGAGAACGTGGAGTCACCAGGCTACAAAGGAACTTTACGCATACTAGGCAGTCTTCTTTGGGATGAGCTTGGCGCCCTGCTGGTCATGCAAAGCGCATTCCTTGAGAATCTCTGGCCGATGGCGATGCATGATTCTGAGGGTATTTACCGCGGCATCAGGGTTACATCAGTGCTCAAGTTCTCATCTTATCAAGAGAATCTGAACTGGAGGCTTGCAAGTGAGATAGTCCCCAAGTTGGTTTCTTTCAGAAGGAGACTTGAGTTCAGATCGAGGCGGTAGATTGACGGCGCGAATAGCTAATAACTGAATTGTTGTTCCCGTGGCTATTAATCCCTGCCAGCCTTTTTGGCCGCCATCCTCGCTCGTGTGATCTGCTTCTTCCAACCAAAACACTGACTGCACGCTACATGTTCCAGTCAGAATTATGTTTTTCAATATGTAACAGCCGCGACTTACTCCCGCTGTGATGTTTATTGCAGACATAAACGCCATCGTTGTTGACGGAGGCATCTGGAGTTTCGATTGCATCGCGGTCTATAGTGTCAAACTACATCGCGAGTAAGGGTTGTAAATAAACGGGTTTTGGTTTAGGGAGAGAGATAATGGCAACGTACACCGTAGAAAGCGTCGTTCTCTTCGCGCAAATCGGCGTTGCAGTCATCGCACTACGGAGACGATGTTAGATGTTTTGATGGGCTTTGAGGAGGGAGAGTGTACTGACGATTTCTGCGAGATGCTGTTGGCAGAATACTGCGTCGTTGATCTCAACAGTGGCGGCCATAGTTGTGTCGATGAGAGAATTGAGGGATTGAGTATAGTCTAAGATGAGATGGAATGAAATTTTAGGAATGGCGAAACAGTCGTCTTATAAAGTGATGCATTTTTGGGATCACGTCAGTGGCGGGGGGGATCAGCGAGACACTACTGCAGCATTTGCGCTTGCACCGCAGCTGAAAGATGGCATGGCCCAATGGTGAGGTCGAGAGCTAAGCGTCAACTGTATGCGATCGGCGCTGGTATTCTTGTAGCAAGATCATTGGATGAAGATACGAGCTTATTAACTGGAATCCTGGAACTCAGCTGCCAAAATGAGACATTCTTTCCCTTTTACGTGTGATGGAGATGTGAACCAAGTTCCCACGCATGGTGAAGGGCGGAGCCCGGGCTGAGCGAATATTATGAACCAAGCTATATTAATTGGAAAAATACTATATAGAATCTATCTTGATACTCAGTATAAACACACACCCGTCATGCACTAGTGTAACCGTCGATTTTCCTGTCCCCAAGTCTGTCTGAATGGAGAACCGTTCGGGATCAACATCCTGGCGAGGAATCCACAGTATCCTCCTAGAACCTTTCATAAGCCAGGCCTCGGACTTTGAGAAGAATAGCCTGAGGTAACGCGGGTCCCAGTGATCCTCTGCAGTCACAGTTGGCATGTCGTATTTGAGGACACCAAAACCTGTGTCGAGTAGTGTGGGGGTTAAAAAGCTCAAAGTTGGAACGTTGCCAAATAGAGAGTACTTCCCAATCCAGGTACCATTCGTATTTCCAATGGCTATATATTCCTGGCCGGTTACCTGGACATATATCGCAAGAACACCACTAGAATCTAGAGAAATATCCAGAATTTCACGACAATCGCGTGATTGAATGTGTGCTTCAAAACGCTGGATTTCCTTATCACGCATGACGTCCCATATCACTACCTCAAAACATTCTTCAACCCAAGCGACTCGACCGTCGGCTGCAATAGTGGATGTACAGTATCTCCACCGATCTGGGATAGATAACCTCTGCAGAAGTTTGCCTGTCTTGAGGTCCCAGAAATTCATAGAAGGACCATAGCCTATAATCAGGCCTTGTCCCCAGAACTGTATGGTCACATGGGGCATCCCATCGAGCCCTTGAATCAAAGGCTCTTCAATCCGCCGCTCGCAGTAGTAAAGGCCCGTATCGTGGTCGAAGTTAAAAACATCAATAAAACCACCGTTGGTGGCCATAGCAAAGGAGTCTTCGTGACTGAATGCTAGTGATCTACTTATGGAATATGACCCAGGTGTCGAATTTTGAAGTGTCTGTGGGAGATGGTGAAGGCTGCAATCTACTGCTATGCTCAACGTGTTGAGCATTCCATCGAATATAGCGACCTTACCACTTGGCGATGTGATAAATGGCTCGACTATGCCGACCGATTGTTGGGTGAAAGGCTCTGAATGTGTTAAGATCGAGTCCAGGCTCCATACCTTGAGAGTGCCGTTTTCAAACCCGAGCGAAGCAAGCCGGCCATGTCTTCCATAGAATATTGTACTGACATGATCGCCTCGTACCTGCGCTACCAGTCCTTTAGTTCCTAAATCCCATATTTCGATGCCGAAAACACCACAAAGGGCTATCAAACGGTCATCGGCCACCCATGACACACCATCTATGCGCTTCATTCGGTCAAATTGCACAATCTTATGCAAGGTTATGCATGAACCCCAAGAGTACAATACGACCTCCTTCCATTCATGCACTACAGCACAGCATGTCCGATCATGGCTAACCGCGGCAGCGTTAGGAAATGTTATGCCCGTCAAGGACATTAGTTTCGACATTTGATGTTTCTTATCAAGACCCCAAATAGAAATACCCATTCGGCCGACAATTAAGAGAGCCCGTGGATGTGAATGAATACTAATCCAGGAAATATATTGGATACCTCGTACTGTAACCGCGTGGCAGCCATCCACTTTTGTTTGGCTCGCCACATTCCAAATTTCGACATTTTGGAGGTCGGATGCAAATGCAATGAATTCTCCGTCAAGAGAGAAGGATGGACAGAATGGCTGGCCATAAACGGCAAAAGATGCACTTTCTTCCCCGTTAGGAAGATGGAAGACAGTGAGTTTTTGTTCGTCTTCTATGTAGCCAGAAAATGTGACTAGTGAATGTCCGCTGGGATGGAATGTAAATGCAAACAGATGAGCTTCAGAAGGTTTAATTGACCTAATAAGTCCACCAGTAGACGCATCAATCAATAGCAAACTGTCTTCATTGCTGCTAATCGTGGCAATTTGTCGACCATCAGGCGAAAATTTGCATGTGAATGAGCCGTTGTCAGGACTTGCTATTCCCGGAATAGTCTGGAGGCAGGCGTCCCAATGTTGGAAGTTGGGGGATAATACACCTATAGATTGGCTGATTTCTTGATTAAAGGATCCTTTGATCTTGCTGAGTTGGGGCGTGAATATCAGAGCTGAGCCATAGAGCTGAAGTGGTGCAGCATCCATTATGGCTCTGTGCTTAGAACCGAAACGTACAGCGTCATTGACCAGAAGCTTCAGCTCATCAGGTACTCTACCATTCTAAAACAGGGTTAAAGGTCAATTAGATTCTTTTCATTCCCCTTGGCTACCTACCAACGCTTTATCAAGTTTCTGCATTGCCTTGATTGCCTCTGAGGTACATCCCAACAGGCTCATAGCCTCAAGCCAGTAAAGATATTTCTTCTTAAAGAAAGAGGTGATTGTCGCATAACATAAGTTTCTTTGATGTCGGTTATCAATCAGAAGCCATGCACAGAAGTGATCAACCCAATAGACACAGGCATATGCAACAATCGTCAGAGAGGAATCTTCCAAAATATCTATCTCATCGATCAAAACGCAACTGTCTTTGAGTTTGCAGAGATTTCGATGGAGCCTCTCACGCATGACATTCATGCTACTGAGGAAGATAGAGTAATGTTGGTATCCTACACCTGATGGCAAGATCTGGGGTGCCTTATGTAAGAAATCGTTGACTGACTGATGGACAGTGTAGACTGTATCGCCTCGTATTGTTAGGAGGGAGCCACAAGATGTGACAAGGCTTGATAGGGTTTCCTTATCTTCGATCCACTGAGTCAGAGTTTCGTCAGCTGCGGCTAGCTCTTGTAGACTAAGAGGCCTTAGAGCAACAGCTACCACGTTAAGGATGGCTTTGCACCAATCAAAGTCTCTAATGTTGATGTGGCTAATCATCCTTTTGTATAGCTCGTTCAGTCCAGGGGGGAAGCACTCTAAGATGCTGGAAATGTGGCGGCGCTTAACAGTGGAATTTTCCAGTTCTTGACAAACCAAAGCAAGCCAAAGAAATGTGTCCTTCGCCTTATTGAGCAGATGTTTGCGGATAAGCTCTCGGCTAGGCTGGTCGTATGTTGAATTGAGCCCGTCGATCTTGGTATCAACGAATCTGAGGACAGCATGTGAGATTGAATCATGGCTGAGTTCCAGATGTAATCGAACTTGACTTGGCGCTGCATCAAGCTGCGATTTTATCTCATCCCAATTGCGGCTGGATATGACCCATTTGGCCCTATAGGACATTGAACACTGGCTGATATAGCCAATAAGTTTTTCGCGACCCTCGGTGCACTCATCCAAAGCATCAATAATGATGACACAATCCGCAGATGTCTCATCTTCGAGGATAGCGGAAAGGATCCCTGATAATGCATACCAAGCGTTATGATCGGTGAAGATATTTGAACCAGCTTGATCGTATTCCTTGCGAATATAGGACTTCAAACCCGGTCGCTTGCTAACGAAAAGCCATATAACCCCGCGAAGCACGTTTGATGCAGTTCGATGGGAAGGCCGTTCGGCTTGGCAGAAGAAGTAAAAGATACCGTCATCTGACATTTTTTCTAGCTCTGTGATAAGCCCGGCTAGAAGCATCGTCTTGCCTTTGCCAGGGTCGCCTCTGACCCAGAGCAAATGTTGTTCTGGATCGTCGCGCCATTGCAAAAAGTTATCATTGTATAAAATCCAGCTGTAACAGTCTTTAAGCAGGCCGCCCTTTTCGCGTTCAATGCGTTTTTTATCGGCTTGAGGGTTGGTGATATAAAGATCTCTGAGGCATGAGTCCTTCTCTACCTGAGTCGCTATCAGATATCGCTCGCAGATGTATCTACAGGAGACCGCGTGTCCAGAACCCACTCACATCTGTCTCGTAGATATAGTTAGTCTGTTTATCGATTTCAATGTGACCGGCATTTGCAGCTTTCCCTATGTGCATGCCGTTCATTGTCAAGACCGAATATTGTACTTGAAAAGAAAATTGAGCCTGCAAGTATCAGAGAGAATGAGTATGCAGTAGGAAAGCTTCAAGCGTACCAACCTCTTGTCAAGTTTCAATGACATCCAACCCACCTAACCCTAGGGCCAACGCTCAAAAGTCCTACACTTCTGACCACGTCACATCACACACCGCCTTAATTTCAACCACCCTGCCTTTCCCTGGTTGATTTTGCTGCTGCATGCATGATTGAGCGTAATGGAGGGGGCGTTGGCCAACCAACACTCGTCATCCTCATCCTAGCCATCATTGTGTACGCCACGGCGCTAACGGCTGTCACATCTTTTTCTTTGGGCGAAAAAAAAAAGAAAGAAAGAAAATACCATGGCGGCTTGAATAAGTACTTAGGCATCGATTCGCGCTCCTTTGTATTTTTTCCCACACCATCCTAGCCACTGTTAGAAATGAACAGCAGTCTCATAGGCCCGTCCCGAGTCAATTTGCCCCAAAAAAGGACCTTTAGGAGCCTTTTGACTGCTGACGATGTTTCAAATTGTGTTTGTCCTTTTCTCACATCTCAACGAGACTCATAAAATCCCAATTATTAAATAAATTAAACAGGTTTGCGTCTAGACAGATGTTATGATCTAGAGAATCTGACTTGCTTATCAAAATACTAGAGTATGTCCATAAATGGTTAAAGACTATGCCACTAGAGGTGGTTCACTTGACTCCCAATACTGATGCTGTCGTTGGCAACATTTACAGCCTTCCCAAGTATATTGATAATCCGGCCACCCTACAATGGTTATTAGTATCCGTACCACGTAGTTTACAAAAGGCTCACCCGTGTTGGTGAGGCGCCTGGTGGTATCATGGCTTTCCGAATTGCTGCCACAACAGTAGCGTAGCCGTCAGCGTCCTTTGTCTCGAACTTGCAGATACCAATATGGTCAGCACGAATAGGCACGGCATCGCCACATCCATGAAGTTGAGCGGACTCAGCTTCGACGATCTAAACGCGTCAATCTTAGTATCTGTCTACTAGCTGGGACCAGAGTTCAAGAAGAGGTATCATACCTGGACCGATCCTATGCCCCATCTTGTTTTCAGAGTTTCATAGAAGAAAAAAGCTTCGATCCTATGGTCGATATCTGTAGAGAATCTGCGCTTATTCAGAACCTGTGGAAATGCTCTCGTGAGTTCATCTAAGCGCTCAGAGTCAACACCAAGAAGCTTCAGAGTTTGCTGCTGTGTGTCAACCTTGAAAAGGTCAAGGACTCTGCGGACAACTTCAGCGGGCCTCGCGACTGAAGATCCTCGGAATGGTGTTCCCAAGAATACCAATCCACGGATATTTTTGGCGATAGATGCTTCTGCCGAGTTCTCGGGTTTATGCTCTCCATGAACCAGAATTTGGGCAGCAACTAGACCGCCGAGGCTGTGAGCAACGAAAATTATTGGTCGATCACCCTATTTCCATGTCCAAGAGTCAACATTTGGATTCTTTCTCGTACCGCATTCGAAGTTACTAACGGTTTGTGTGCTTAGTCGCTCTGCTGCCAGCTTTGCACACACGTCTTCGGCATCACTATGGATCTCAGTTTTCGTGGCGCCAGACTGGCCAGGACTGGTGATATTGGTGTCATAACCAAAAAGAAAGATGCGAGATGCTGGAATATCGTTGGGCAATAAATCTTTAGGCCAAACGACCCCATTTTTTGCCCAGGTCTTTTCTCGATTCCCCCGCAACCCATGCAAAAAGACAATGCTAGGATTTTGTTTGAGCTGAGTGACGTGGTGAAAAGAGGTCAACTTACTCGGCTTGCGCGTTTTCTCCATTATACACTTCTAGTAAACCGTATTGGGCCATCATGAGGATACCTGCGGCCTGACTGTACTTCGGGGTTTCGTTGTTAGTCGACAGAAAATATGCGATGACAATCCTCGATGAATCATTGAAGTAAGGTGTTCACCGCCTGCAAGACTTCTGCTTTAGGTGTGAAAATTGAGTGGTGAGGCCCAATGCAAGATAAAGGTCAAGACTTCTCAGGTGACGTGTACTACCTTTGACTTACAACAAACCCCACTGGCGTGCCAAGTGCGGTGTGTCTTTATAAAATGGTATTGTGCAGGCAATGCAGGTGTCTGACCGAGCCCACAAGGCGCCTGCATTGTTAGCCAGCTGGCAAACAGGAAGAATACAGCACCACTTCCTCCTGTTGTAGCAGGGCTCATTCTCCGAAAGAAAAGTCTATGTTATTAGCCGCACTAACGGCAGTTTCTTGGTAGCTGTATTTCAAGAGTTATTCGTATACTCTTCCTTCTCAAGCTAGGTTATGATGGGTTGGCAGAATACTTCCCATCAACGCCGCTCAAGGATGTCAACCGCGGCGGGCTGATCTTTGCTGAATGGATCAAATATTGTCAGATTGGCTTTTCAACTCTCCACAATAGACGGGCGCTACGATAACAAGTGAATTCAGCCGCACTTCCCCACCCCCATTGATGAGTTTTATGCCTGCTGTTGATCCCTCCGGGGCTCACTACCCCGCTCAATCGGGCGCTTGGTCAAAGCATGTTATTTGTCGATATTGAAAGGGACTGTTTACCCTTTCAGATGTCTTAACAGATCTGTGCAACCAATAGTTGATCTTTCGCACAGCATACTTAATACGGGCCCTTATGAGGAAAAAGAGAAGAGAAGATAGAAAACATCTTAGTTCTACTCAGCACATAGACATAAAAGCGGCGAAATCTGGCATTTTCATTCTGGTTTCTATTTGAGTTTAAATAAATATTTTAAAGTTCCTATAAACTATATATTTGATATCGGGAAATAATCTAGAGGGATATTTTTAAGACCTGAATAAAGATATAATATAACTTCAAGCAAATCCTAGGGCAAAAGGAACTTGACATGCTTGGTCGAGACCTCCAGAATTTAGATATTCTCGCGTCATCTAGAGGCACTCATCTCTCAGCCCCACTGAGTATTTACCCGAGGACAAGGGAAACCTTCTCTAGATCTAAACTTTCCCACTCTGATGCTATCACTTCCCCACTTGCAACTCGATATGCAACACCGTCCTTCCACTCAACCCAGAGCACAAGATATAAGTCCTCCCTGAATATTGGTAGCCGCGTCTTCCATTTCCCTCGATCCCACGTCTTGGAACATCTTTTCAATCTACACACCGCCACTATATCAACCTGTAACCCTGCTTCATCTCCATTCACATTTTCTGGGAAGCGATCCCTTGTTTCTTCGTTAGGTAGGTGCAGTTTTCCAATCTCCTTTCCAAATCCATCGCAGAGCTTTGCTTCATTGTCCCACAGGAAGTATAGCTTATGGGAATCCTGCTGATATCCTGACAGTCTGGCTTGGACTGTCTCACAGAATAGATACGGGGTTTGCTCTGGCATGAAAGGGGGTGTTGATTCCTGGATCTCGCTCACAGGGAAAGGGTAGTACCAGTACAAAGGTGCCCCATAGCGCTCAAGCATAGATTCGTGCTGGAAGAGATATTTGCCGCAGCCATCGGGGTAAATCTGGGGCTCATTGCCGGGTTCTGGTACACGCTTCCATCCCGGTGGCAGAGGTTTGGTGAAATCCCTATATCCCTCACGTTTCTCGAACCAAGTCGGCCGAATTCTTCGCCTTCGGTTATGAGGATCAGCTGGTGACCTACTCGTGTACCACTCAGTAATAGGAAATGCTTCTTCAACATGTTCCTCTTCACCTGTGTAGTTGCTGCCAACTCGAATGCCTGTCTGGCCGCGGTCGTTGATAGAGCCTTTCCAACCTAGCCAAGACCAAGAAGGCAGATCAGAATACTCAAAGCGACTTTCGATAGGTCTACTTGATTCGATGCGACGCTGTATGCCTTCCGTGCTTGATGCTCGCCAGCAGAGACTATGCTCGAAGAACATCTCTGGAATCCCATAAAGGAACCCACCTTCAAAGGAGCGACTGAAAACCGATAGTAGACCGGACAGAGCTGGAAGAGCATCTTCCTCAAAGGTCAAAGACCTCTGGTTGTATTCGTGAAAATAACGGGAAAGAGATGAGTCATCCGGGAATCCAGCTATGACAATATTGGACTGAGGATGCAACTCGTCATCAATCTCAGTAAACAAGGCGAGCTCTTCGTGCCAGAGACTACATGAGCACACCCAGTGGACCTCGCGTCTATGAAAGATAATCTTTCTCTTGGCCATTGCATATTCCTGACAGGTCCAACCCCTCTGATAGTAATTCCTGAGCCGAGTTGGAAAAAAGATCATCTCATCCAGGTAAGAAGTGTTCCGAAGAATCAGCTTCTCATCCCCGAAAGGAATGACTCTCTGGTTCAGCCCTCGGGGGTTGGATATACTCTTGAGACCAGATATCCCCGATCCAGAGTCACCATCTGTGGCAATGATGGTGACAACTGCATTGGCGTAGATGGCCCCCATTGACCTCAACTGCTCAGAAGCAGCCTTAGGATCGTGGTGAGTGACACAAAGTGCATCAGCCCACAGGTACCGTTCGTCAATGGCTGAGGCTAGGCACATGGCGTGGCGGATAATAGGCGAGATAAAGTCTGAGAACTCGGGGGTTGCCAGAGCGGAAGGCTTTTGTAGGTCTCTGAAGGTGTTCGAAGTAATTTTGGGTGGAGTATGGCTTCCGTATGTGTAACTTATTGCCACGTAGTCAACGGGTTCGACGCCTGGGACAATGCATTGCTTCTGCACATCTACTAGCCAAGCAGGGCGCGTGGGCCAGACTTTGAGAGGATTTTCGCACCTGGCACCATGGGATGCAACGTATTTATGCTTCCATCTTTTGATAGTTTCGACATCAGCCCAGTCCGTATCAAGTACACGCCCATTGCCCGGGTGTCCAGGCACGTCATCCTTCTTCACCAACAGTAAATTCCAAAGATAGCCGGTGCCATTTAGTGATTGATTGAGACTTGCGCTGTTGCCCTTGTGTGGTTTTCGAAACCCCATGACCCTGTGATCGAAAGTTCCTCCTTTAGAGAGGACATAGTCAATGAACCTCTGCAACAGTTCTTTGTGGTGCTGACACGTAGTCGAAAGCGCCTCTCTGCAGGTTCCAAGATTGACCTCAGGCGCAGATTCAGGATCTGCGAATTGAAGCCAGATAGCCTTGCAGGTCGGACAGGTAGACGCCCACGACGGACTGCTGTCTGCAGGTGTTGTAGCCATGATCTAGCTGGCTTGGATAAAGAGAAATAATATTGAGAATAGAAAGAACTAATCTAATTACGTACACCAACGTGCTTAAATGCCGTGCGACTCTCGATAGTCATCATATAGTTTGATGAGGGGTAACTGCATATGCATAATAAGCGTAAATAAGCGGCTCCCGCTTTCCTATCCGCCTGCATGCCCCATCACGTCTCACGGATCCTTCTGTAAAAGGGCGACTGGGCCGTGCCAGCTGTAACCTACCTAAGTAGACATGCCGGTAGTTGGTTATTGCCTAAAACGTTAAGCTTTTGGCTGACAACACCAGTGAAAGACAACGGTACATCCGCACCCAAATATGAGCTTCTACCTAGAAGCATTCACCATGGAACTGGTTATACAATACAAGCCTGTTACTTGGGATGTATAAAGATGATAGAGCATAATTCTTTTCAATCTTGGTGACTCTTTGGACCTAACTCCTTCGGACATCATTTGTAGAGTTTTCGTATAGATGGCGAAAGCTGATTGTCAATCACCACGGCATTGCCGCGTTTTGCCGGGTCTAATTAGGGCCTGGTGCGAACTTCAGTTAGTTTCTGCCATAAGACTCAACCAGAAGACCGTGTCCATAATTGAGTCAACGGTTCGGCCGGCCCAAAATAAAGCCAGATATCTCTGACGACGGCGGGAATTGTGTTCTCTCCCGACGTGGGATTTTGATGTGAATTAGACTTTGTAAACCTGTTACGGTAGCATCAAACAAATACAGACTCCGGTGCTTCCGATGGCGTCCCTTAAATATTTAGTTGTGACTCCAGCAGAAGAAAACTCAAGTTTGGTGTTTTCTGAAGCATCATCTGGTTAGATTTCTTTCTTACTTCGAGTATAGCATTACAGCAGGCTTCATTCACTTGCGATATACTAAAAGAAACACCGACGTCCAAACAATTATCACTTCGTCAACATGGATGTTATCAAGAAGTCAATTCCGAAAAGCGTCTTGATCTTTGGCGCTGCTGGCCACATCGGCCAACCGCTAGCGGAATTTCTCACACGAGAAGCCCCTGATATTCAACTCTCGCTCGTTGCAAGAAGCCCCGAAAAACAGAAAATGCTACAGCACAAATTTCCCAACGCCCGGGTTCTCGCGGCTGACTACGAGGACCCATCTTCGCTCGCCACTGCTGTAAAGGGCATTGAAGGTGTTTTCGTCATATCATCCAGTGGCATGTTGGAAACCAGTGCCATGACGAACCTCACAAATGTTCTCAAGCAAGATGGCTCTGCTGTTCATGTCATCCGGTTGCTCGGGATATTCCCTGAGTTCAATCCCCATCGCGTGCCTACAAATCTAGGGCCAGGAAGCCTGCCTGTTGAACATCCGATTGCGAAGCGTATCTTGGATGAAAGCGGACTTCCAGTTACATACATCAACTCCGGGGCTTCCTTCATTGATAATTTATGGTTACAGATCCAACCCGTCCTACTGCACAAGAAGTTCATCTGGCCAGAGCACCGAGTGCCATTTGTCGACCCGCGCGACATTGCCGAAGTCGCCGGACGTTTGTTTCTTTCAGATAATGCCAAGCACATAGGTGCATTTCACACAATGAACAACGGTCATGACTGGCTGAACTCTGAAGAAGTGGCGGGAATTCTCAGTGAAGAACTGGGTGAGCCGATTCCCTTTGACGGAAGCTATGAGGGTTTCATGGAGTTCTGGGGTCCGAGGATGGGAAAGAAGGCGGAGCGACTATGGAATTTCTTCAAGTTCGAACAGGCTAACGAGGAACATTGGGCTTTAAATAGTTTTGTCGAGCGGATCTTAGGGAGGAAGCCTACTACTGTCAGGGGCTGGATAGTGGAGCACAAGGATGGTCTATTGAACGCTAAGCATCTGGTATCGTGGGGACAGTGAAGAGGAGTCTCATGTCTTATAAAAGAAGGCTATGGAAGACAATAAGAGAAAAGCACACTGTATTAGAGATATGAAGACAGTGAAGTCGCTTATAGAGCTGCTTCGATATAGACTTTTTGAGGACATATTTACTGCTTAGGGCCAATATGTAGATCTTGGTACCATCTTGAGCCGGGGATCGTCAATGGTTTCGAACAGACCCAGCCAGAAACATTTCCTAATCCAAGCTTTTCGCCATCCTCGAGCTGCGTCCTGATGAGATTATCAACCCGAGGCTTCAGTACCCAAACATATACCTCTCTCTCACTGCCTCAGGCTGCATTACACTATATCATGAACCGGGCCTGAAGATCTTAGCAGTGGCCTCAAACACTAATGGAAAGAACCCATACATCTTGGTATTAACAAATAGCCCAGTTGCACTTGGGGCTGGAGACATAGTTGATAGTAAGGATACCATGGCTCTTCTCATCGTTATCCTGCGGCCAAAAGACCGGAATACTGCCGCATTTGTTGCAGCCGTGGGCTTCAAGGTCCGAGATAAGTGTCTTGATGCTCGAGCCAGGCATTCCTCCTGTGTTCTGCAGGAAAGCACAGAGATGCTGGGCACACATGATATGCTGCCCGTTGTAGTACCAGCGGTTAGGGTCGAGGCCCCTGGCCAAGTTTACAAAGCTGGAAGTATATTCTCCCTGTGTTCCGCCAGCACACTGGCTGCTGCCCTTGCAGTTAATGCCAGCAGCTGCTTGTCCTGCTGCTAGGAGGGCGGTGGCGAGTATGGCGGTGAGTTGCATACTACAGTCGTGATGTGTTAGCATTGCCGATAGAAAGATGGAGATTGGTGCTGACCTGGCGTTTATGGAGGTATATGAGTGCTGAGTTCAGTGAGAAGAGTGAGAAGAGTGAGATGGACAAGATGAGATTGGGGTCTCAGGAAAACAGACAGCTTTATATCTAGAAACCAGTAACCGAACATGCACGGATATAAAACCCACAACTGGGTAGAGTTTGAAATGCACATACGATTTTTTCTGTCGGGCAGCGGTCGGGAATCAAAGTCGTATCAGCGAACCCGTTCTAGAAGTTATCACCAATCGTAGCTTGCCTATCTAAGTACAACTGGGTATTCCCCTGGATGTAACATGGCCGAAAACCGCAACTTGTGGGACAAGCCTTTAACATAGTTGGATGACCGAGATGATTCAGCAGCTGAATAATCGCGCTACCATGCATGATATTCGGCCGCCCGTGCAGATACGAACTCGCGGCACCTCTCCTTCATTCAGGACCTTCCAAAATTGTAGTAGGCAACTAACTAAAGCGGGACGGTCCGTCGGTCTGTGCATATAATTATTTTATTCTGAAAAGTCTGCCTAGACCGATCGAAACCAGTGCTTCCATCCTTCATCGCCTGCATTCAGACAACTCCAACTCTTCTTGAAGGAGCTACGTCTGGACTCGCTTAATCGTCGGGATAGGCGCTCTCAGTACCGCCATTCTGACTTCGATGTCTAATGCAAGGGTCTTGATAATTACTACCTCGGTCTTGCAGGCGCTTACCGGCTGGGGTCACACTCTGGTTCAACCTATAGTATAGAACTTTTCATAGTCTTATTTTAAAAGACATTTTAACGTCTAGTAAGCTTGCAATCGACTCGTTATATAACGAACAGCTGCTGCAATATGGACCAATCTGCCGAAAATACAGCGTTCACAGGGTACCTTGCGAACATCTCTATTCAGAGCCCTTATATCAGTTCGCGAGGTCACAAGCCCGGTTATCTACACAGGGCTTTATAGAAACAACCAGCTGCATAGTCAAGGGATTAATAGTTAACAAAGATGAAGTTAAGTTCTTAAATATAGATATAAGGAGCCTGCGGTTAACACCTCAGCCTTGGAGACCCTATGGCGCAATAAACCTTTCTGGGTTAGGCTCTATCGACCCTCCTCTCTCTGCAAAATATTCATCTGGAAACCAGCGGGGGATTTGCAGAAGAAAAGACGAATTGATATCTATCCAGATAATAATCCGGCGCAAAAGTCCATTCAAACCTAGTGAATCCAGACCGCGTCTTTGCTCAACCATATCATACAGCCCCTGCATGTGAATTCGATACGAATCGACGCCTCCATGCATCGCCTCAAAACTTGCCATTTTTGCAACGGCCCCAATAAGGGCGTCGCTTGTGTCATCATGCGCAGCCATCAATGCATTGATTGATGATATCGCTTGAAGTCTCAGCTGCAGAATATAATTCGATGGAATGGAGGCACCGGAGACCGATGACTTGTTGGCTGCAGAGAGTAAAAGGATTGTTTGAAAGGGTGCCTCGTCGGAAAGCACGAGTGGGAACCAGCTCGTACGGAGAAGACCTTTGTTTCCTGGCTGGTCTAACTCGGGGATATCTACTGCCATGTGTACTAAATCTATGACAGCCTGTTAGCCAGTCATGAATGTTGACGACGACATGGGAGGATGCTCACAGTGGTCCACGAGCCCAGGGACCTGCGGGTTCCACGGACCAGGATAGGTTCTGAAGGGATCGACCCGACCTCCGCCGAGCTGTTTTTCAACGGGCGGTATCTGTGTACATAATTGGTTTATGTCGTAGCTGACGCATTCAAAAACAATTTCCTGTTCCTTGTGGCGTCCCCGACGTTGTTTCGGCCGGCCAGGCTTCGTATAAGCTTTCCAACCCCGCTTCGAAATATGTGACCGGATACTTGAATCCGCTTTCAGCAAATCGGGCTGATCGGCGATAACGAACTTAAGGTCCGAGGGCAGTTGAGGGGCGCACTGGATGAGTGTAGAGCGAGACATGTCAATGACGAAGGATTTTGGCGTGGTAGATCTTTGTTTTCAATGTTGGACGGTAGAGATGAGGTCGGGGAGACCCTAGACCTAAATAGGGAAATGCATCACGGCTCACTAGTTCATGTTTAGGTTTGGAACTCAGCTGCCAAGTAGTGTGACAGCTGCTGATCAATACGCCAAATGTTCTAGCGTCAATTGTCATAGCGTTGACAGGTCAAACTTCATATCCTCCATCATCTAGAGGTACCTCCATCTACCTATGGTCCATCCTTTGTGCAGAGTATCCTTGTTATTGGTCATCTGGTCACAATTCGTTTTCACCGACTCCTGGTGCACAAGGGATTAAATGCTACTGCTAAGCCTAATTCCGCCGCTGCATCGAGTTTACCAGTCATAAGTCCGACTTCCTAACTCAACGCAGATGTCATTTTCAGTGTATCCCCCCTGGATCCTTTGATCCTCGTACTATGCCCGATTCCGTCAATGCATATGTTCAGCAAGTGCTGATGCCTTATCCCCTCCATCGAGATTCCTCCTCAGGCCTGGTTTAGTATGTATATAAACCTGTCCCTAGACCTGCAACAAGTTATCAAGAACCCCATCGTCCAAGACTCACACTACAATCCAATATTAAACCCATACTCAATCTATCTCATCACACTTTTAAAAATGTCTCTTGAAGGAAAGGTCGTTCTCATCACAGGCGGGGCCAAGAACCTGGGTGCCGAAATCGCCTTATCCCTCGCCAGCGTTGGCGCTAGCCTAGCCCTCCACTACAACTCCCCGTCTACGAAGGACAGTGCCGACGCTTTAGCAAAGACAATCGGCCAATCATTCCCCAAGGTGAAATATGCTTTTTATCAGGGCGATCTCACCACCAAAGCAGCAGTTGACAAACTGTTCGAATCGGTGCTCAAGGACTTCGGCAAGATTGACATTGTCATCAACACAATTGGAAAGGTTCTCAAGAAGCCCATCGCTGAGATCTCTGAGGCAGAGTACGACAGCATGTTTGAGTAAGTCTCGCCACTTTAATTTCCAGCTTAATCTTGCTAAACAAGACCGTAGCGTCAACTCCAAATCGGCTTTTCTGATTCTCCAAGCTGGTGCAAAGCATGTCAAAGACGGCGGAAAGATCATCACTATCGTCACAGCCCTTCTAGCCGCCTTCACCGGCTTCTACACCTCATATGCCGGATCCAAATCTCCTGTTGAGCACTTCACCCGTGGCGTTGCCAAAGAGCTTATGGGGCGCCGAATTAGCGTCAATGCTGTCGCGCCTGGACCGATGGATACACGTAAGTCGCCCTTGAAGTTTCTAGACTATGTACTGACAATGATATGCGATAAAGCTTTCTTCTATCCACAGGAGGCTGATGATGCTGTGGCTTTTCATAAGAGTCAAGCGCTGGAGGGACGGCTGACGGATGTTAAGGATATCGCTCCCCTTGTTAAATTCCTTGTCACTGAGGGAGGATGGATTACGGGCCAGACCATCTTTGCTAATGGCGGCTATACTACCCGCTGATTGTCTTATGCCTATTCATAGTGTATCTAAACTGAGACAAAATCATCGAGTGTTCATCCTACCCTGATGAGGCTGATTGTCGACAGTCCTATTCGGGAAATTCTGTTTACACCCATGCTGTATCCACTCCGCTCTACTTCCTTGCAGCCAAGACCTGCTGAAACTGCAGTGTTCCACCGTCTGCCCAATCAAATAGATGGTGAAACCGTTATTTACTGAGCTTCAAGGTTTGCGTTAAACTTGTTCTTCCACTTGGATATTTTCTCGTCTGTTGTTTCGTGAAAGCCACTGGTCACAACTTGAGCACCTCCCAGTCACTGTACTAGGCAACCTGAATCTGTCCTTGTATTTGGTTCGGAGATTATATAAAGCAGCTGGATCACGAATTTTAGCAAAATTATTTCCTTCTCAACATATATTCTTCTCTTGGCTGGTCCAGCAACATTTCACCTATTTCCACGTATCTCACATCCTTTCTTTTCTCAATGCTCGTCAACAACATCTGCCTCATTGCCTTCGCCGCTGTTGCCATGGCTGCGCCCCAGCGCCCCGACTTTAACCGAGATCCTAATAACAATGGCGACCGAACGGCACAAATGGCGCGCGTCGAGGATCTCCGAAACAAGGGCCTCACGTGTAATGAGGCTGCTCAGG